AGTAGGTGCTAAATGCGACTAACCTTCAGTCTGGATTGAAGAACAACCGCCTGTTAAGTCGTAGATTTAGGGAGTGACGAAATCGGTGATCTTCAAGACCCATCGGCACGTGACAACGCATTTAGTGAATTTTAGCCTTTCGTGAGCTGTAAGGCTTGTTCTGTGGAGGTATTTCATCCCCTTGTAATACCCGATTGAGAGCAATTGCACGAATTAGAGGTAACGTGTTTGTTTAAATGACGGAGGCTAATATGCACTCAACGGAACAAAGTCGGTCATAAAGGAGAGCTTGCAATCCCAATCAGATGAAATACTTTACTGCTAAGAACAAGTAAGACAACGAAAAGCCTCTGTGTCAAGTGAGTGCGTTTAGGCACTCTTAGCGCAGAATTTTCTTCTAAACAAACAGCATTCATAATGCTAAATAGAAAAGCAAAGTAAGTTTGACATACAGCACAGATGAAGGTGCGTTGAAAATGATTGCATGAAGTGTTTGTTGAACAGATAAAATTTGTGAATGGAACTCGTCTGGTTTTCGAGCAGATAACAGCTCTGATATAAATGTACAGACGTGCAGTCCTCGCTAAGTTAGTTTTGCATCATTTGGATAAGGTACGTGCTTCGGTCTCTTACCAGTAAATGCGAGAGTGCATCGCCTTCAGTTATATTTTGCATTCTCAATGATAAAGTAAACCTTTTGCAATTGTTTGTAATTACTAGAGAGAATTTTAGTGAGATTTACCCATTTGATACAATATAAAGCAAAATTATTGCGAAAGTGCTAGAACAGTCATTGGCTAGGAACAAAGCCTCATTCTTAATTTTAAGCAATAAAGCAAGGCGTTATCACCTCACACTGAGGCTGAATCTTAAGATAACTGCCTCGAAAAAAAGTGCGAGCTTATCCATGGATTCAACACCAGTCGAGACTTCCTTCATCCACACTTCTTAATCTGGTCATGATTACAATTATGACTTCATAAATTTCGGCATTATTTGCTAATTCACATCACGTAGAGCTGTGAAGTAGCAACCTTTTCGTCAGGGACCATGAGACTGAATGCGTTGCTGCCTCGTGGTAGTTGTAACTCTTGGGTGATATCACTCACTAGAAATTCTTTACACTGCTCTTCCACGTTTATCAAATAAAAAAATGGGTGAGTGAATAAAAAAAGGGTGAGCCTAATATGCATTCCTCTTAAGTTTGCTTGTGCAAACAATGACTGCGTGTCCTGTATTGACCTAATTTAATCCTTAAGCTGCAGCGAGTATGCTGGTACTTTTATTATTCCTCATCGAAGTTGAAATGATCACCCTAGCGCACTCTCAATCGGCGTTGAACTCACATGAACGTCGTTGAACTAATGAGCCTACATGACTTGTGAATGTACTGTGTGTTAGTCAGTTGGAAGTTAAATTGCCGTGTTACGAGACCAGGCCATTTTCTTCTCCTGTGTCCCCTAGCCAATGAATGATCGTGATTCTGACAAATTATCTCAATTTGAGATGACGCGATATCAGTGTACCTGAGGTGATTATTGTTAATAAAATTGTCACAACCTCGATACTCCACAAATCACATTTGTTTTAAAAACCGCATATGATGCGCATGCCGAACAACTGACTATGTTGTGGAATTTCGTCTTTGCACACTTTAATAATTTTTTTCTACATCGGGCAAGTATTGACCAGATAGCATTACTTATTACATCTTGTGGTCGCACAATCTTAAAGACCCTAATAGTCAGTACTGAATTTCAAGTAGCTAAGGATGCAGAGTCAGTGCTGCTCAATTGTTTAAAGCTTCCGTAGTGAAGGTGGAGCAAATTTGAAAAAAATCGTCAAACTTTAAATTTGTACTCTTTGCTTTTGACCGATATTGCACATTTGAGAAATCCGAAGAAATTTTTGAATAGGGAGATCAGAATTGAATGTATGAGTGGTGGGTTGATGCTTCATCAGCATCAGAGGGAGCAACAACAGCATTTGGAGGTGACTTAAGCAAAACCCAGATGGGTTCATCAGTAGATACTCTGATGCCTGTTGCAATACTTTGCGATGAAGTGAGATGCGGTGCCCTGTAGCCTAAGGCGAATGACGGAAGTTGCAGGATGATCCAGAGTATGGGATCTCTACAATGCGTTGACATCCACTTGCCTTGCAAATTTCAGGAAGTGGCTTGTTGAAGCACACAAGAATGAGGTAGAAATATTAGCATGGCTGTGCACTCGAGAGAGGCTGACTAAATTTTCTTCTTCGACGCTATTTTATTCTGAGATCATTGACGAAGCCTACCGAATGAAGGTTGACGTTGACCCACTTGCAACAAGCGAGTGTCTGATTTAAACACTTTGGATTCTGTTAAATTTTTCAAGTTTTTCTTAATCAATATTTCTAAACCTCTTATCTGGAGGAGTAAAACACTGCCCTAAGTACGAGATCATGCCTACTAATTTGTGACTTCGATACACGCAATCAGCAACTACTCATTAATCCAAGTTGCCGCTCTGATTTGGCAAGTCATTCGACTCACGTACACTGCCTAGGAACTGACATTTAAACAATGACCTATTCTGTCCAAACTTCCAAAAAACAGCAGGCCAAATACGTTCACCCGGGAACGAACAAGTTGTGCAAATATCGTTGCAGTAATTGCAAACCCAACTAGCATTCACTAAGCTAATCATGGACCATAGGGGTTAACTTCATACCTTGGAAATCGTCAGAAGCACAGCATATTTGTGATAATGCGCCCCATTTCGTGTGCGTCCACGTGTCACACATAGGTGACGCTTAAAAGTGGTGGAAAAGGAATATAATTTGAAACAAAAACGAACTGAATTGCATTCACTGCTATTCGTGCAAGGCGATAAGACACCTGTGTGTTTGTGGTGGTCAATTTTCCCCCGTGTGAGATCATGGTAGTGAATGTGGCAGTAG